CCGGTCATCAGCCAGGCCTGAACGATGTCAGGGACAGGGAACGCCAGCACTTTGGGGGGTAGCTCTCACTGTCAGGACTTGTGGTCTTATGCTGATCACAAATGAACATTTCTGTTACTTATGCCCAGGGGTTCTGCCTCCACCCTCTGAGTGACACCAATGCTGTATTTTCCTTATGACAGCCCTTGAGGTCTAAAAGGTAAATCCCCTTAACTTTTTCTTCTCCAGGTTAAACATACTCATTCCCATCAGCCATTCAATGTTTTCCAAAGAAACTCAGGGAAGAACTGAACAAGGATTTCCAGAGGCATAACATTTACTTACTCTTACATATTATATTTACTGAAAGTTTAGAATTAACCTATTTTAATTAATTGATGGTAACTAGAGCTAGTTTATTTGATAGTACATTTTTAGGATTCTAGGTTACTTTAAAAATGTACCAAATTTTGGAGCTATATTAAACATAATTTATCCTTTCTTTGATATTTCAGACAGTATAAGATTCCAGAAAGCATCAAGGCCACCTTATGGCTATATTTTTTATTGCAAAACAACCATAGAGAAGCACTGCTAAAATGAATGTTCTGGCTAACGAAATAAAACTTTCTTTACCGATAACCTAGGTTACCAGGTAGTTTTGTGGTTTTGTTTTTCATTTCAGTTCTCTTCTATTACATCATTGACTCTATTCAATTTTTCTTTAACTTTAATCAACACATAAGCTTCTACTCAAAGCACACAATCCCATTGCATCGGTGAAGACAGAGTAATTTTCAACCGAAGAGCACAGAAAATCCTTACTCTCATTTCATTTTCTCTCCTTGTCAAAATACTGTTAATCAAGAAATTGCTTAAAATTAAATAAAAAGGTAGAAAGTGTTGGAAAAGTATGACACTAAGGTGTTTTCATGTTCTACCTATTCCCATCATTTTGTCTGAGGCCAGGAAGAGAGATGGGAAAAGACCATTTGAACAAAACCTTGATGTAGTCCTGGGCTTCCTAAACCTGAGGTTCGCTTCATTCCCCTTTCAATTATTCACCCGGGGCTGTCCCCCCATTCTCAGCACCTAAACAGATTTTCCAGACCTTCCCACAATTGCAGGAACCGCCCCGTGTCAGGATTTCCATGTAAAGCCTCCAAGCCACAGAAAGCAACCACTCAGCAACCACCATCCACTGTCGTGTTTGTTTAAAAGCCTCATTTTATCAGGCCCGCAAACATCGCCCTTAGCAAGGCAGACCCACCGCGGCCGCCAGCTCTCAGCCCAACCAGACTGACCTTCAGAGGAGAGATGTGGGACTGCAAGACGTAGCCATGGACATTTTCTATCTGCGACAGGTTCTTTTCTGACACGTGCACGAGCTCAGGGCCTCTCACTTCGTGGGTCAGTCGAGGTAAGGAATGATCGTGTGGACCGTCCTCATCTTGGTATCGATACTTCTAGGTGGAAAGGCAAGAAAGAAAAACAGCATTAGTGTTCGCAAAGGGTACAGTCCTGAACGTCGCGTTCTAACTGCAGCGGCAGGACACGGTGTACCTGTCATTGACATCCCCAAACGGGCGTTGCTGCAGGCTCTTTTGGTGGTCACCATACACCAGGTCACGTGCAAGCAAAAGCGAACCAGCCGTCAAAATCGACCAAAACGGATGAATTGCTTTTGTCTGACAACGTAATATCTCCACGTGTGGGATATAGAAGGATGCTGAGGGGACGGGCTAACACAGGTGGCTTGTAGGTAGAGGCGTGTGCTTGTTAAGAACTGCTTAATCCAGTGGTTCTCCGCCTTGGCTGCACATTAGAATCACCTGGGAATCTTTTTAAAATCCTGTTTCTGGGCCTCACCCTCCGGAAATTCTGTTTCTTTGTTACTAATGTTGTGGCCCCACCCCATAACAAAGAAACAGAATTTCCGGAGGATGAGGCCCATAAATCTGGATTTTAAAAAGATTCCCAGGTGATTCTAATGTGCAGCCAAGGTGGAGAACCTTGGCTTAATCCAAAGCAGTAAACAACTTAATGGGCCCACTTATTCTTTTCAGGTGATAGAGGTCAGCTTGTTTCATAAAAACAGTGTCGGTTGTGTTAAGTACCAGGAATCATTTCTCTGAAGAATTCTATGTACCACTTACAACCCAGCTAGTAAAATATTAGTTTGCTTTGCTTTGCTTTTGTTCTCTGTGAATGATATAGGGGTATTATGGGCCGGTGTCCAAATACTGTCATAACATTGTCTCAAGCTTAACTGTGATATCTAACCTTACCCCAGTACCCCATTATTATGACCAACAGTTATTTTTATCAGGTCATGTTGCCAACAACATGTTTTCTTACAAAATCATGCCTGCATTTCTTTAATTTTTTAGGTGAAAATATGACTTTTTTGGATATCAGCTCTCAGTCTGACTCATAATCTGAGTAACAAAAAGGGCTGGCAATTCAATCTGTTGTCCACTTTTATTCAGAAATTGATTATCATTACTTGTATTTCCCAAAGAGGCCTTCTACATGTCCTAAGCTTAATATTAATTTCTTTTTTAAAAAATATATGTTATTGATTTTTTTACAGAGAGGAAGGGAGAGGGATAGAGAGTTAGAAACATGGATGAGAGAGAAACATCGATCAGCTGCCTCCTGCACACTCCCTACTGGGGATGTGCCTGCAACCAAGGTACATGCCCTTGATCAGAATCAAACCTGGGACCCTTGAGTCTGCAGGCCGACGCTCTATCCACTTAGCCAACCGGTTAGGGCTTAATATTAATTTCAAAACAAAACAAAAATACAGCACACAATATGTTGACTATAGTTTGCAAAGGACTCTCATCTGTTCCTTCCATTGCAATCCTTCTTACCTAGGATGCTCCATTTTTCTTATGATAAAACTGACACTCAGAGAGGTTCAGAGACTTGTCTGGTGTTACCTAAGTCATGGGCATCAGAGCCGGAACCCTGTCCAGTTGATTTAAATCTGAAATCTCTCTCTACAATCATCAAACCCTCCCCACTCCCATGAGGTGATAAAACCCAAGTCTGATAACTGAATCGACACTTTAGTAGCTAACACCTCTTTGAGAGAGAACACACTTCAGAATGAGGTTAGAGCATTTCCGTGAACTACACAATACCATCCGTCTATATTCTTAGCCCCATGAATAATTTGGGAAGGTAATCTGCCTCAGAAACATGGATCTAGTTTAACATTCATTCTTGATCAGTTATGTGTTCACTGGGAGTGGGAGAATGTCGTGCATATGCCCGGTACAGTGCCTGGGCCTTCAGCCCATCTACCCCCCACACCTCCTCCCCCTCTTCAGTTCTCTCTCAGGGAGGCTTTGCCACCTATTCAGTTATCCGAGCCAGAAAAGTAGGAGGCATTCTGACTCCATCCTCTCTTTCACCCCCCACCATCTGCCAATTTAATAAATCACTGAGTCTGTCTAATTTATTATCTTGAACCTACTCCATCCTCATCCCCCACCACCACTAACCTACCCACTGATCTGCCCACATTCAGATTCCCATCAGTTCTAAGCTGACCACCAACAGCCTCTGGGCTGGCTAGGCTGCTGCTGAGGTTGCCCCTTGCCCATCTATCCTCTATCCTGCACCAGGCGCCTTTCTGAGTCACAAACTGGCAAAGTCCTTCCCTTAACAACCCTTTAGTGGCTCCCACCACCCACAGGGCAGAGCTTGAGCTTCCTTACCCTGTCACAAGCCAACCGCCAACACCACTACATGAGCTGTGAGCCTCATTACTTTTGAACTCGTATTTCAACAACCCAACTCAGGATAATGGAGTAAATATTAGAAATCATTACTTTCATTTTTAAAAGCTTTTTAAAAAATTGGCCGAAACCGGTTTGGCTCAGTGGATAGAGCGTCGGCCTGCGGACTGAAAGGTCCCAGGTTCGATTCCGGTCAAGGGCATGTACCTGGGCCACTTGCCTACTGTGATGCCAAAGAAATTAAAGACGCCCTCTCGGTAAGAACTTATATATTATGTTATATTTATAATATTTACATATTATAATATACATATATAAATATTTACATATTATGAAATTTACCACCTTAACCATTTTTAAGTGTACAGTTTAGTGACAGTCAGTATATCCACACTGGTATATAACCAATCTCCAAAACTTTTTCACCTTGCAAAACTGAAACTCTCTCCCCATAAAACAAAAACTCCTCATTTTCTCCTCCCCCAACCCTTGGTAACCACTACCATTCTACTTACTATTTCTATGAATATAACTACTCGAGGCACCTTATATCAGTGGAATAAGTATTTGTCTTTTTATTGCTGGCTTATTTCACTTAGCATAATATCCTTGTGCTTTATCCATGTTGTAGCATGTGTTAGAATTTCCTTCTTTTCAAAGGCTAAGTAATATTCCATTGTATGCACATACCACATTTCGTCTACTCATTCATCTGTAGATGGGCAGTTTGGTTGATTCTACCACTTGGTTATGCGAATAATGCTGCTATGGGCCTGGGTATATAAATATCTCTTTGGAACTCTGCTTTCAATTCTTTTGGATAGATACCTAAAAGTGAAATTGCTGGGTCATATGGTAATTCAATTTTTTGTTTCTTGCAGAACTTTTTAAGCTTTTTAAGAGTTAACATATGTAAAGACGTATTTACATCACACATAAAAATCTGAAACATAAAGATCCAAGGGTACAATAAGTAAAATTTTGCAAAGTTCAAATGATTACTGTGGTTCCTCCAGGATTCCTGTAGTAGGATTCAGCTGATTTAGAGAAAGGTATCATCCATAAAAGTATACATCTCACTGACTGGTTTGGATAAAAATAAATAAATAAGTAAAACAAAACAAAAAACTATCATAATACAGATAATAAACTTAGTTGAACTTATGTGGTGTCACAAAGAACTTATTTTAAATTATTTCCATAAATCTAATGTCCAGTTCAAAGACTGATAGGACCTCAAATTAGACTACAGAAACCAATCAATATTTTATTAGTAAATTTGTTCATTTTAACATTCATTGATCCTTTAGGCCCAGCTTTCACATTCCTTTTCTGGAAAGCTTTTGTGAACTGCAAGCCTAGATTGTGTGGGTGTTTCCATAGCTCCCTATACTCCCCAAATCACTGCTTTTATAGTGCTATATGGTTGCATAGTTTTTGTTTGTCTGTTTGTCATTGAACCATAAGATTTTGTGAGAACTAAGATCATTTAGGTCTTGTATATCCTCATGTCTCCAGTTCTTAGCCAAGTGCCTGGCAAATATGCTCAATAAGTATTTTTTGAATAAAAGTATACATGACAATTGAACAAATGGATCAACTAGGCATGAGCTGGTTAAGCTACAAAGGTATTCTGGTTGCCAAATACAAATTGTTTTCATTGCAAAACATTATGATTTCAAGTTCAAGCAAAAAAAGTCAACCACATTATTTGCTTGACACAACCTTAAAGAACATCAGATCCTTAAGTATTATATCTCTCTCTCATCATTCCTTTCAGAAATATATGCCAAAAATATAGACTGAATTAGAACCAGTTCTTGACCTCAAGAAGACAAGAAGTTCTATTGAGTGAGTCATACATATGTGCAGCTAAGTCACGATACATACTGGTAATGACTATAAATACAAACTGAGTCTGTGGCAGTAGAAATGGTTTACCATTTGAAACAGGATCTAGAATGGTAATAAAAAGAGGTAAGAGATACTCTAAGCCAGTGGTTCTCCACCTTGGCTGCACATTAGAATCACCTGAGAATCTTTTTAAAATCCTGATTTCTGGGCCTCATCCTCCGGAAATTCTGTTTCTTTGTTATGGGGTGGGGCCACAACATTAGTAACAAAGAAACAGAATTTCGAGAGGATGAGGCCCAAAAATCAGGATTTTTAAAAAGATTCCCAGGTGATTCTAATGTGCAGCCAAGGTGGAGAACCACTGCTCTAAGCAAAGGCAACAACACGTGCAGAGGAGATAAGTGTTAAGAGGGATGCTGTTTTAAAGCATGGGTGGAGTATATCTAGCCCAAGGGCCATATAAGGCCCATGAAATCATTTGGTTTGGCCCCTGTCAAGTAATTAGATGTCTGACCAAATATAGCAGGCTAATTGTTAAGTTGATAATTTTGTACAGATCCAAATGGCTTTGGCAGAGAAAAGGTTCCCTACCCCTGTTCTAAAGGAACAGTGAGATCATGAAATGGATTGTAGCAGATGCTATTGTTCTCTCCCCACCCCCAGCCCACCACCACTACCTAAATCCTTGGAAATCCCTTTCACACACATTCAAGGCCCACATCTATATACTTCACACTTCTCAGGAAGCTTGCCCTTGGGATTGAAGCCTCCTCATTTAGGAGGACTGGGAGTTAAGCTGGAACTCAACACTCCCAAACCTCAAAGTGAAACAAACCATTGGGCTTTGAATTCTACTCCCA